GGGCGGCGGCGGGGCTGGGCCGCGGCGGGGGCGGAGGAGGACGAGGAGGCTGTGGACGACGCGCGGGGACCCTGCCTGGCGCCCCGGAGTGCCTCGCGTCCCTCCAGGTGAGCCTGGGTGCCCGAAGCGGTGCCACCGACCGCGTGCTGGTGCCACCGGGCGGGTGGGGCGCGGGGAGGCGGCGCCTGCTTTCTGCTGGAATGCTGTCACGTCTCAGCTCCCGGTCGCCTGCTGTTGCTGCACTGTCGGGATTGCCTGGCTCCTGAGGTCCCCTTGCCAGAGCCGCTGAAGGCGGCGGAAGCAGCATTAGGGGGAGGTGCTGCTTTGTGGGGGACCGTGCATGGTGCTTTTGGCCACTTTGTCGTTTTAGGTCGTGCTGGCAGTGTCTCGGCAGGAGGTGGCAGCTTGCCTGTCAGGCGGATGCCGCCCAGCAGGAGCTGTTGCTTGCTGCTTCTGGAAGCCTTTGGGTGCGGAGGTTGTGGGGTGGGGGACCCTCCCCGGCTCTGTCAGATCTTTGCCTGTGGAGGTCCGGGGAGAGGAAAGACTTTTTTTACTAGAGCAGGGATTGTTGAGTCTCGAGGGTGCTCTGGGCGTCATTCTTTCCAACAGAACAAATGGTTCACATTCTGCCACAGCTCACTTTTCGCTAAAATGGGAAAAGTAATACCTGCCTTTGTCACTTCACTAAGTCAACGAGACCGTCGTGTAGGTGGAAGATACAAAATAGACCGTTCTTTTTTGTAAATCAGACTAGCTGGTAGAAGGCTGCACCAGTTACCTTGCCTGCAGTTGGTCACAAAAGCCTTAGCTGCCTGCTTACTTGGCATTTACCTTATTGTTTTAGCAAAGTACAGTTTGAGGAGGTATGATTGTGGATGGCAGGCTTTGGGAGAAATTGTTTTATTTCATTATTTTTTTGAGACAAAATCTTGTTCTGTCCCGGCTGGCCTTGAACTCAGGGCGATCCTAGCCTCCAGAGGGCTGGGATTACAGGTGTGCACCGTCACACCCAGCGCGATTGTTGCCTTGAGACACTCATAAATTGGAATATAATCCTGGTTTAATTGTGCTGGGCATGACTCCCAGTACATACTTGAACTAGGAGCGTTTGCCTTTTTGAGCCCCAGTCCACTTGGACAGCGAAGCAGTTGCAGGATACTTTCTGCCATTTCTATCACTTGGCTGGCTAAGAATTCTTAGAATAACAGGATATCCAGACTTTACAGTCATTTGGTCTTCGTGTTATGACAGATATTAACTTTAAAGAAAATTTCTGCCACAGAACGATCTGATTCACGAAGTTACATGGAAACAAATTACCAGTTTGATTGCTAAAGGAGTTCAAATAAAATTTTACCACTAGGCTGTAAGTTTTTAAGTAACTGGTTTTTTCATTTAAAAACGCAGTGTTTACCTCAATCAGATTCAAAAGCAGGATTTGTTGTACTACCATACAGTCAAAGTGACAGTAAGGGGGCTGGGGAGATAGTTTAGTAGAATAAGCACTTGCGTGCAAGAGCCTGAGTTCAATCCCCGGTTCCACCAAAAAAAAAAAAAAAAAAGAAATTGTGCAATGATTTTTTTTTTTTTTTTGCTGGTACAGGGGAAAGAACTTGACTACATTATTTAGTTGCCACATTTTTCCTTTCCTGGGGCTTTCTTTGTAATAGTGGAAAACCTTGCCCTTTGCTCCTTTTGCAGTACTAGGAATTGAACCTAGGGCCCTTCCACTGAGCTACATCCATTCCCTTCCCTTTGTATTTTGAGGTTCTAAGTCGTTGAGTTCTCCATGGGCTAAGTGCTTTGCCTCAGCTGCAGAGGATGCTGGGATGACAGGCATCTCCTATCATGCCTGGCTAACTTTTCTGTTGATGTATTGATTGGCAGGAGAGGCAGTTTAACAATGGAGAGAATTCTGTGGGATATGAAAGTTCAGGTTCAAAAGTTTGTCACTAGAATTTAAGATAAATTTTTTTTTTTTAAATGTATTTAGTACAGGGTCTACAGGATCTCAGTACACAGATTGGACTCTGTCTGATTCCTGCTGTTTTTAACCTCCCAAATGCTGGGGTCACAGGCATGTGCCACTAAACCCACTCATGCCACATCTCAGAGTGCCACGTGGGTGGTGCTGGTATGGCATGCCAGGCTTGAACCCTGGTTCCTGTGCCTACCTAAGCAGGTGCTTTAGTACACTGAGCTGTCTGGCTGACCCCAAGATGAAAAGTAAAATGCCCCAGTAGCCCAACAGTCCAACTTGGGTTTTTATTACCTAGCTAATCTTACTACTTGACTATGCACCGGTATTGGACTAGTGTGTCTCTACCTGCCGCTGATCCAGATAGCCAGCTGAAATTCTTTTGGACTTGGAGGATATAATGGAAGACTGCAACCCCTTTGGGTTGAGGTGCTTGATGGTCAGGTACTTTGGAAAAGACTCCAGTGTTAAAATACACCCTGCTCAGAGGTTAAACTTCCTTCAGAATGAGATTTTTCTGGTGTAGATAACTAATGTCTGTTTTATTTCCTTTTTAAGACGACAAGGGAAAAATCATACTAAGTACAGAAATACTTGGTAAAGACTGAGCTTTGACATATTTCTCGTCACAGTGGTGTCAGGAGTCAGACTCCTGATGAGTTATTTATTTATTTATTTATTTATTTATTTTTGTGGAACTGGGGATTGAACTCAGGCCCTTACACTTGCCAGGCAAGCGCTTATTCTACTGAGCTATCTCCCCGGCCCCTCCTGATTAGTTTTAGAATCCTGCTTGCATTGCTCTCATCCCTCACGTTT